GCATAAAAAAAACCTCCGGTCGGGCCGCAATGCATTATGGGATATGCTGGGCTGGGAAGGATCCATTGGACCAGTCCTTCAATTCGGGCCAAAGGAAGGACGCATTTGTCGGCTGTATCGGAGAAGTCTTCAGTTTTGGACGGCTTTTGTCGCAGCGCTGTGACGCATGCGGCCAACAAATTCGGCCTTCAGAGGATCCGGCCCACCGTTTTGGACACAGCCGCAGTGTCTGCTATTTAGTTTAGCATATGGCAGTGGAGGATGTGAATGAAGCCAGTCCATGTTGATAAGGTTTCCAAATTTAATTAAATTTGTCTGACAAAGCACGTAGCTCTCATTTACAGCTGTCTCGTTCAGCTCGGTACTTTTCTCCTCTCAGTAGGGTTGTTTACAGTGCACCTGATTTCTGGTTAGCTTCTTAGCTTAGCCTTCTTCACAGCGACATACGTCACGGCCAAACGATCCAATCATTTTAAACTTCAGCTGAGGCCACACCTCTAGCAAGAATCGCTTCTCCATAGCCGCGAGTCCAGACCCTTGAAGTGAAAGACAAGGGTCATGGGGTCGGATTTATAAAACTTGCGTATGCACAATATGAGCCCAGAAAATTGTGTACGCCACTTTTCACGCAAAGGTTGTGATTTATAAAATCCAAACTTGAYGTGAAAATGTGCGATGCCCCTCGCCAGCTCTAACCCATGCGTACGCTCATTTTGGAGACGGGAAGCTGCRACTTTAGCGACACAGATGGTGAAGTGAAGAATTAGAGCCACACTGTGTAATGACCACTGTCAGATATTTAATTTCACTTCATAAGCAAACTTAGATTTTTATTCAACTTTATAATCAGCTTTCTTAACAGTCATTTATGATTCTGCAGCTGAGCCAGAAGGACCTTTGAAATAAAAACTTAAATCTTAAATAAAAGTTCAAGCAACTCATTAATTTCTTTCGTCTTCCTCACAACCCTGACCTACAGACCCCTCCCCGACAAGACACATTTCAACAGCATGGCATCACACTTTTGGTACGCGCAGGGCGCGCCCACCCTCACCAGTGTGGATGTTAGTATAAAACTTCACTTTTTAAAGTCCATATTTGTCACGAGCGCAAGGGAAAATGCGCACTGTGGGGATGTGTGCGCGTACGCGTGTTGGGTGGGGTCTGCCGCAGATAACAGAGGAGGGGGAGGACGGGGAGACGAGTGGTGAAATTATTTCTAAGTTGATCTGACATTTAATTTTATTTATTGTTTTATCGTCCTGCAGACTCTCAGAGAAAATTAATTTGAAGCTGAGTTTTTGAWATAAATYGTTACTCTAAACATCTGTAAAGCTGCAAAATCAGGGAAAATCTGTCAGTTACAGACATTCTGTTCACATGAGCAGTTGTCAGTCAGCACCTGTCATCCTCCAGACGCATGATGGATCGCGAGTCTGAGTCGGCCAATCACTTCTTTTGACATTGATCAGCTGACGGATTTAAATACATCTTAACATTCATGAGGTACTTTGCATTGACTGTTTATGGTTGAGTGTGGGCGTGTAGAGGGCAGAACCTGAGGCGGGACCTTGTGCGCAAACTCTGACATGCAGCTGTGATTTATCAATGAAAGGTGCGCAGAAACGTGTGTACGCACGGTTTTATAAATCTGAATTTTTTTGGTGTAAGCCATTTTCGCCTTTTACGTTCATTTTTAGTATGGTTTCCATGCAATCCTTTATAAATCTGACCCCTGGTTTTTTACCGGGCTACAGCCAAGGAAACTATACTGAGCTTCAGCATCACCCCCCACCCCCAACCCACCCGTGACTCCTTCAGGTTGTCGACAGGAATAAAGTGAAACCG